ATCGTCGCGAGTGACTGCCAGAATCGGAATGAGAAACCCCTTGGAACCCCCACTGAGAGATCCACAAATAGTATCAGCTTGTCTCCGGCAGGTGGAGCCACCATATACGCTACATCTTTCTCTCTCGTAGCTATATATCTATCCTTGCTTTGTTTCTGCAGATTGGTGGTGCCACCTATTACAATAGCGTTGAAGCTTCTAGTCAAATAGTACCAGCTTGATTGCGCTAGATGGCGCAGCTCATGAACTACGTCTATCCTTCTCTCTCCTATAAATGTTTTCTTGTCTCTCTTTAGCCACCATCGGTGGCACCACCTGGCGGAGATCCACTGGTACTATTTGGCTAGATGTTTCAGCGTTCTCTGAATAGGTGGCACCCCAATCTATGATGTCGAAAGACAAGGTACGATACATGCGATTTAGTAGGTTGAAAATAATTTATTATCTTAATGAATGTTTAATAAATTAGGAAAGGAATTCAAAAAAGGGAAGGAAAATCTAGAGTGAATATATATTTATTTAGTGTTGATAACATTGCTAATGACATGAAAACTGTCATAAGATGTCGTGACCATTCTTTCAGCACCGACGAGAGACATCGTCTGTGATTATACTTTATCCCATATAGACGAGGAACTTGCACTTACCTATGATACCTGAGTCCTCTGCAGGACATACGTGGAATTATTTAATTGACGTTACAATACCGCTGTCGAATACGTTCGCTATGGAAAGGGAACAGCGGAAATCTAATCTAAACTGCATTAGTTGGCATGGCAACTAACTTATCCTATCTCCCAATTTTTGATAAATCTCCAATGTCTTTATTTAGCATAAAAACCAAGTTAAAAAGTCAATCTTGCAGATGCTTAAAAGCTATCCGCTGTAAGAGTATATTTAACAAAATTTTAAATTCAAATTTTCATAATGTGCGTGATCGATTGTCTATGAAATTGAACGGTTTTGCAATTTGAATAATAACTTGGTCACTTTATATCACTACATGTAAATACTTGCAAGATTGTTCTGCGTTAATAAGATTTATTGCCGTTCAAGTGTTAAAAATACATAAAATATCGTGTTGCTAAAAATAAAACATTCTCAGATCTAGGAATACTTTGTAAGAGTCTGTCTCAATAACACGTGATTTTATTGTGATTACAGACTGAGATAAATATATACTGAAAAAAACTTGAAGACGATTATGAGTGTTTCTCATAATTTCTTGTCCAAGTACAGATGTAATTCGTAAATGTTTAAATTAGCTATTTCATTCATCTTATAATAAAAATGATATCGACAACTATAACTATAGTATCAATAACGATCTATCTTTATTAAACAATTCCGTTTTTCTAAATACAAAAGCAATGAAATTCTGAATGCAGAGTTTACTAAATTATTGTTGCAACAATGATAATGGTAACACTAATATACCCTAAGTACAGATTGAATCTTTAGTATAAAATAAAGAAGAAAAGGGAAAGGAATAAACTGACATTGCTAAAAGAAGGGAAGAAAAATTGTGTAGAATCAATTGTTCATTTAAGTGAGAATGTCGGAAATCGTGGGACGCGCGTGTTGGCCGAAAGAAACGCCGAAGAAGCTGAACACGAGCCAAGAAGTGGTCGTTTCATGGTCCTGAGGAGATATCTCGTGCCATCTGTCGTTGCGAAAGAAATCTGAGTAATGCGTTTATCAGCGAACCAACGAAGATTCGTCCGTCGGGTACAAAGTAGGCCGAGAAGCCGATTCGAGGCCCCGTCGAGCCCTTGTGACCTTTCGTAGTTTGTGGTGACCTTCAGTCAAGCTTGGCCGTGGAACTCGCAGATTCTGTCGTCCGCCCACTTGCTCGTCGTCTGTACGGTTTTCCTATTATTTCGAGCAAAAGTAAGTGAATTCTTCCTGCCGAAAAGGGTCGTGTCCGTTTCGTATTTACTTCTCGCGTTCCAAGTAAGTTTTTTCGGTGTTCTCTCTTTTATCGCGAGCGTCGCGTGGTTCAACAGACCCGGCAAAACCTAGTAAAAGTGGTAATGGTTCGCGCTGTCATTGACCTTTGATAAACTCGTAGACGCAACGTGCTCCTTTCGAGTATGATATTTCCTCGTCGAACTTGACTCGAACTTGCGACGGAAACGTACTTCGAACTGAATTCTGATCACATCGATCTTGATCTTGAAACAGTTCGATCACGGTTGTCAATACAGTTTAAAGGTGAAACAACGCGTTTCACGGTGTATTTTAATTTGAACCGTGTTCTTTGCTGTCCGACGTTCCAGTCATCCGAGTCTCGAGTTGTCACGAATTTCATTGGTTTTTATTATTTCAAAGTGACTGAACAGTGAGTTGAAAATAACGTTATCGGTGCTTATGGAAGTTTGCAATTTCTATACAGCTTACATAATAGATTTATTGCTAATCGTGTTACCAAATATTGTAAAACTTCGTGCGCCGGTTTCTTGTTATCGAGTTATCACAGGAGAACGTGGAGTGTATTTGAAAAAACGGAACACTATGAATTGAGAATGAAGAAAAGTTACTTTCAAATCATTGCCAATAAATGTGTACATACGGGACTTTGACTTTTAGAATTTATGTGAAATTTTGAGAATTTTCTTTTATGTATTTTTGTTCTTTAAAAATGAAATCAGGACCGTCTCTGTAACTGCTAATTTGAATTTACAATATAGATTAAAGGGGAGCTAATAAAATGTCAAAGGAACGTGCTTCAAGGAGATTTTATCGTGTAGACAGTAGTAATGACTTGCTTGAATTTATGGATCGTGGATATACTGCACAACATGAGAACAGATGGAATTTTGAAGTTGCATGGGAGGCAGCCAACAAAGGTATTTACAATTTAAGAGACTATTGTTCCAGGAATAATGAAAGTAATCATTTTGTTTTAGTTGGTGGAATATATACAGTGATACGTTCCAAAGCATTTGTCTCAACAGAGGAAATGGGGGATCAATATTGTCTTATTGGTCCCTACAAAGAAGCTTGTGCTCGTACAGAAGTTGATGAAGCAGATTTTCCACGTAATAGTCCACTGCATTTAGCTGTTCAGGTTCTCCGCGACCAAGGATTCAAAGTAAGCATACGCAGAACATAAAAAGTTATTTCTCGATAAAAACATAATATTTCTAAGAAGGGAAATATGGCAAAAAGTACCCTATGAATAGATTATTCGAAATATATTGGTTGTATCTGTAGAGATATACGTCTATCTGTTGAAATTGTTTATTATGTGCCAAGAATAATGGTTTGGCTAAAAGCCAAGTGCAAGCCCAAAATTAATTCAAGGGCAGTTGCCCCAGTAAGTGCACCATGCAGTTCTTCCTTATTTTATCCAAGATTGTTTCAACAAAACGATTAAAAGAGAAATGAATAACGAGACTTCTTATTGAGGTGGTAACAGGAACTTGGCTGGTGGATGGAAACCCTCAAATAATCCTGTTTGATATTGGAAGTGCAGCATGGAAGTTGGATGAGTACAAACAAGAATTGTGGAACACCTGTAACCTTGGTATTCCTCATCTTGATATAGAAGCGAATGACGCCGTTATCCTCGGCTATCTCGTTTGTCAGTTTATTTCTGAATTCAGGTAAATATCACGTTGTACGGTATCTAAATACTTTTCGTCACTTCCGATCGACTAATCGGTATGAATCATATTTCAGAAAAGCGGCCGAAGGATATTCCGACGTTCCACCTCGCGTGGTTGTTCACTGCCATGAATGGCAAGCGGGTGTGGGTTTGATTGCTTTAAGAACCAGACACGTGGATGTAGCCACGGTTTTCACAACACATGCTACACTGCTTGGTAGATACCTCTGTGCAGGAAAGATTGACTTTTACAACAATTTGGATCAGGTACCATATCAATATTATCACCTTTGATCAAAGGTCAATTATATTTCCATTGAATCTGATCTGGGAATGTTAATACGAAGTTCGATGTGCATTCTTACAGTTCAATGTCGACGAGGAAGCAGGGAAACGCCAGATTTACCATAGATATTGCATGGAACGAGCTGCCACTCACTTAGCCCACGTATTCACAACGGTCTCAGACATAACTGGATTCGAGGCTGAACACTTGTTGAAACGGAAGCCTGATATAATTACTCCAAACGGACTGAACGTGAAAAAATTCGCCGCCTTACACGAATTCCAAAACTTACATGCCGTTAGCAAAGAAAAGATACACGAGTTCGTTAGAGGCCACTTCTACGGGTACGTATGAATAAGGGGAATTTTAATTCATCGTTTCCTGTGCGATATTGTATCTTTTAGTCACTATGATTTCGATCTGGATAAGACCCTGTACTTCTTCATTGCCGGACGTTACGAGTTTGGAAACAAAGGCGCGGACATATTTATTGAAGCTTTAGCCAGATTAAATCATTATCTAAAGACATCTAGACCCGATACAACAGTGGTCGCCTTCCTCATCTTTCCAACAAGAACCAATAACTTCAATGTGGAATCCTTACGTGGTCACGCGGTAAGTCGAATGATCTTCGTGTTAGACTGGAAGATGGTACATCGGTTCTTATAATTCCGTCTTCTCATTAAAGGTCACTAAAGCGTTACGAGATACGATCAACGACATACAACAAAAGAATGGAAAACGCATGTATGAATTATGTTTGTCCGGGCGCATGCCTGACGCTCAAGACCTTTTGCAAAAAGAAGACATCATCAAAATCAAACGGTAAATGCACTAGAGAATTAATCGACGACGATATTTTAGATTGAAGAAACATTAATCGCCCTCGTTCTTTGCCTAGGTGTTTGTTCGCTTTGCAGAGAAATGGTCTGCCACCTGTCACCACACACAACGTTATAGACGACTGGAATGACCCGGTATTAAACGGGATCAGAAGATGCAATCTGTTTAACACTGTTCACGATCGAGTCAAGGTGAATGCAACGCATTACTGTTCAAGGTCACACATAGGCACCTATCACTGTACGAATTCCCCGTTCAATTTTTTCTAAATTACAGATAGTATTCCATCCAGAGTTCCTCTCGCCCACGAATCCATTATTCGGCCTCGATTACGAAGAGTTTGTCAGAGGATGTCACTTAGGAGTATTTCCGTCCTACTACGAACCCTGGGGCTACACACCCGCGGAATGTACCGTTATGGGCATTCCTAGCATTACCACGAATTTATCCGGATTTGGTTGCTTCATGCAGGACCATATAGCGGATCCGATGAGTTACGGTATTTACATTGTCGATAGACGGTTCATCGGTTTGGAGAACAGCGTTCAACAACTAGCCCATTACATGTTCGACTTCGCGCGACTCAGCCGGCGACAGCGTATCATTCAAAGAAACCGAACCGAGCGTCTCAGCGATCTTCTGGACTGGAGAAATCTTGGCATCGTAAGTGACTTTGGATCGTGTCCTTCGATCGGTGTTTCTACGTTCTCGTTTGTCGAATGGAAGCAAGTTAAGTGGTGATTATTCTTTCAGTATTACCGCCAAGCCAGAATAAAGGCTTTGATGACCGTCTATCCAGAATTAGCTTCGGAATACGCAGAAGGCGGAGTAGGTCGATTCAGTTATCCAAGACCGATCAGCGAACCACCGTCGCCCTCGTCTTCGAGACACACTACTCCGGCTGCTTCGGTTCACGGATCCGACGACGAAGACGAAGACGAAGTTGACGATGAGAAAGAGGTGCGTAAGAAGAAGGCTTCTCTTCGCCGTGCAATGTGAAAGTTATTTTCGTTTGCAGCTAGAGGAGCTACGTCAAACTGGCAGATAAAAATCCGAAGCTATCGGAGAACTAGAGAACGATGACTAATTTTCTGTATACTAAATAAGTGCGTAGGGAGACTTTGCAACAGTAGTGCCAAAAAAATCTCATATGAGTACATATGGTTCTCCATGAAGAGTTAATCAACCAGCCCATTCGTCACATTTTTTATTGTATCAGTAGCTCCGCACTCGTATTTTCAGTTAGTTCCGCACCACCATGCATCGATCATTGACAAACGACAGTATATAGAAACAGTATTTTACACGACCACGCAAAATTATTACGAACAACAGTCTTCCACGAATCAAACTCGCACGTATAAATGTTCCATGAATCAAATGATATTGTTGTATTTTGAAAACTATATTTCATGTTATGCATATACATATATGTAGTGAGTGGAATGTGTTCCTATTGTATAGAGAACGGTTATATTTTTATGGAAATCAGCACGCGAATGAAAATTTCGTAACATTTTTAGTTTTCCAATCATTTTGTTGATGCAATGTTTTCTGAAAATAAAATTTTTCTAATATATATATTTATATAATATATATATATATATATACACACACACACATACACACACATACATTTTAACCGAGCTTTCGTTCTTCAATGAAGAAAACTAACAACACGTTTCGACTCCGTGGCGACTTTAAATTGTAAGAATTATTATATTATTAATCGTTAACATAATATACAAAAAACAAAGTGCTAAAAAGTTACAATTCTCTTACAACGAAATTATTACATTTGGCGTTTCACGATTACCAAAACTGTCTTGCCATCTTGCGAAACTCGAAATAAATATGTACATAATTAAGTAAACGAGTAACACGTATGGTTACGTAACAATACGACTTAATATAACAAGAAGTACAACAATATACAAAGCCACTAATAATCTTTGCGATCGATTAGAAGTATCTTATTAATGTCTTTGATGATTATTACACTGAGAGAGAGATAGATAGATAAGATAAGATAGAGAGAGAAAGAGAGACAGAGACGATGGAAATTTGGAATGGTTCATTACCACGCGAAGCTTGGGCAAATACAAGGAGGTGTATAACACGAGATTCCATA